GGGCCATGTGGGTCTGATGCCTGCCGCCATGCTCCCGTGCTCCGCCGCGCCGGCCGGGTCAGACTGGAGCTTTCAGAACCCGGTGGGGGTGGACTGCAGCGCCCCCGAGCCTCGCTGCATTTGGCTGGCTGTCCTCCATGGAGCCTCAAGCCCGACGCCGCCCGACGCTCACGTTCAGAGCTCACACCCACCCCGGGTAAGACGAGGTGACCCGCCTTCATCAGAGCGGATACTGCACGGGTGCTGTTAAATAACTACTTATGAAGTTTAACCCAGAGGATTAAAATTTTATGAGAAAATGCACCTGAAAAAAAAGGCAGAAATTGGTTGTGATTTGTCGTAATATAGCCAAAAAAAAGCTGCAAATGGGCAAAAAGTAACTAAAAAGAAGCTGACAAAAGTAGATAAAATTATCACAAAACAGTGAATTTAGCTGAAAATGACTTAAAGTAGCTTTAATTGCAGAAAGAAGTTGTTAGAAGCATCAAAAGATTTGATTAGCAGAATAGCTGAAAAGAGCTAAAGAAGATAAAAAGCTAAATTTAGCAAAAAAGAAGCTGAAGGAAGCTAAAATCAGCACAAAGAAGTTAAGAAAGCAAAACTAGAACAAAAGATGTAAAGTACAGGAAAGGTTTGGAGCTGTCTTCAACATCCACATTTATTTTCATTGAGAACAAACCAAAAAAAATTAAATATCTCAAAACCTATAAATTGCTGAAGTACCAAAAGTTYTAGTTTGAATGTCCTGAAGGAGCTGAACATTTTGATGTATGAGTTGTTGAAATGYCACYAAAATTGTGTGATGGGTTACGTGACAAAAAACTTGTGGAAGAAAGAAAATAATAATAATAATAGAAAATGTGATATAACGTTGTGCAGTAGCAGCAGTAGTTCTGTAAACGTTTATCTGATAACCGCTCAGATGATGACAGCTTCTTCAAAGCCGTCGTGTTGCCTTCAGGCTCCGTCGGCTGTCAGACAATCCGTTTTTATTATCCTGTAAATATCTGTTATCAATTAGCCGAGTGGCTCCGAGCCAAAGTTTGCTTTGTGGCATTTGGTAAATTGCCTCTAAAACACTTAAAGCTTCAGACTGGTGGAGAAATTMTATTTTCCTGATTGCTTCATTCTGCTTCTGTGGAACCAGATCTGTGGACTGTAACACCCCACCCTCCACTCCACGCTCTCCGTGACTATTTGACACAGAAATGCCACAATCAGGAATGCAGGCGAGGGGGGGAGGAGAGGAGGACACAGCTGTGACAAACACACGCTGTCTGCTCTTCGGCAGAAAGGTGGATTATAATTTCTGTGGAGCTAAAAGCAACCAAACGTTGCAGATACCATCGAAGTGACGCCTCRGTATCGGCCGCGTCGGCTCTTAAGAGTTGGAATTTTTATGACGTAATCTTTACTGAATGCATGATTATTGAGTTAATATTTTAAAAACCAAGTGTTTTTTTAAATCCAAGGCTAAAAAAGAGGCCTTTATGTTTYTGTTGGATTATAGGGCTGTTATTTAACTTGCAGTTCTTACATCTATTATAGAGCTGAAGATGTGCTTTTTATGAGTAGCTACCAAACTTCAGCTCAATGTCTGTTAAAATCTCCTGTTTTATTTGGATTTATGTGTTTTTATGAATTAATTTGACTCCAAAGGTTTTGGAAAATTTCATTTGAAAATCTGTTAATTTGCAATATTTTGGTAGCAGACACGATCAAAAACCTCATAAAAGGTAATAAAATAAAATGTGAAGGAACATTTAACAGCATTATCCTGCATCATTTAGGGGTTTTTGCTCATTTTTTGAGGCTTTTCCCGCTTTTCTTTGAACTGACCAAAACAAAAAAGTTTTCAACCTGCTGTAAAACCTATTTGACCTTCATCATCYTTGTCGTTAGGTTTCAGTTGAGAGGAAGGTACCGTTTGTTTGGTTGAAGTAGAAAACCCTGTTTAACTGCCATTTCGTCATCACCTGCTGACCTGGTTGAGCTGACGGTGGAGTCAGACGGGTTTCTGAGCACACACACACACACACACACACACTTCATATTGACACACGGCTGAGCACGCACAGCTCCACGAACTGTTTGCTGTGAATTAGATAAAGTTCACGCGGAGCGTTGAAGGCGACGGGGACATGCATCTCCTCAGGAKGTAGGATGCTCTTCGACCCACAGAGGTGGTGGAGTTCTCCCTCTGTGTGGCCGGTAAGTCGGCGTGAGATGATTCGGGCTTTCTGTCGTCACACTAACCCCCAAACCTCCCAKCCCACGGCTCGGCCCCGCTGTCGGGATTAACGTCCCGTCAGCGTTTGCGCCGGCCGCTAAAGCTCCACTTTTCAAACATGTTGCAGCTCTCAGCTGTTTGGGGAAAAAAGAGCGTTATTGTTCTGTTCTGCCGGGGGTTTTAGCCACGCTGCATTCCTCTGAGCTGCTTTTATCTCTGGATGGAGACCGGAGAGGAGAGTTTGCATCGTGTACACGCACGACTGAACGCTGTTAAWATCACACACAAGAAAAGCATCTTTATCTGCAAGTAAGGCCTTTGATGCTTTGGATTTTTGGGCGCTGCGTTTGAAATATTAGACCTCCCAGTCAAGCAAACGTGTTCTTATGCAGTGTAATTGTTTGCTGCCTAATTAAAATGATGAGAAATCTCCTCAGGGGTGATCCTGCTGCTGCTGTGTTGATACAGTCCACTCACACCAGGAGGCTTTTCAAGCTTTAACCGTCTTACATCCAAGCTTTCTGTTTTTGATTCGAGGTCAGGTTTTTCTGATTCTCGCTCTGTTTATCAGGACGTCGAGGTGAAATGGTTAAAAGAAAGAAATGTTTGTCTCGGTGGAACAAAGCCCTCCTCGTCTCAGAGGAAGTTCAAGATTAGCCTGAAAAACCCAAACCGCAGGAAGACATTTCCATGAGTTTCCTTCGTTACACACAAAGTCCTGGAGTGGGTAGACGTGGTTTTGGTCCAGACTGACCCTGGAGGTGGGGGTTACATCAGAGGTGTTTGTCAGACCTGAGGGGGCGGAGGGTTCGGCTCCGGTCAGTTTGGACCCACAGAGTCCAGAGAGGCAGAGTGGGATCCAGTCCCCGGCTCAGGAGACCGAGTCAGACCACGGTGTGTTTTGGGTAATCACAGGGTTTGGTATTCCCAGCGCCGGGAGGGGCCATGTGGTTGAAACTGGCGTGCTGGAGCCTGTCCCTCACTGGGGCCCACGATACTCCTCCTCCTCCATCGTCTTCAACGTTCTCCTCGCACCAGCGTGTGTTTATACTTGTCCAAACCAAACCGCTCGTTCTGAGGAATCCACTCAGACTTCCTCCACTCTCTCCCTCTAGTTTATCGTTTTAACACTCCCCCCTCCTCTGAGAGAGAACAGCCGAGGCTCGCTCACATTGTTTGGATTTTCAGACTGAAATGATCGCAGAGATTTATGCACGTCTGTCTGCAAACTGAAATAAGTCCGAGACGATTGTTTTTTTTTTTTTTTTTTGGAATGAAGAGAAAAATGTGTGGCAGAAGTCAGCAGAACGGATTTCCACATCTTGAGGAAGAGGAGGTGGAAGGGAGGAGGGAAGAAGAGAGAAGGGATGGGAAGTGCCTCYGGCGATGAAGGTGTATTTTTAGGAGCGGCTGGTTATCCCGCCTCACAGGGTTACCCCACTTCCTGCCTCAAGACGGCCACTTCCTGTTGTTGTGTGGCCTTACACAAACCTGTTACATCGAGTCTCTCAATGATCTTAAAGTCAAACTAGAGAAAATGCATTTCCTGTGAAAATGTGCTTGAACTGCTGAAAGATTGTAGCTGAAAGCTGCTGAAGAAGCAAAACTTGATGTGAGTTTAATTTGAACAGCTGACTGTTGCTGAAAGTAGGACAACGGTAAAAAATCAGAAAGGTGCAAAAAAAGAGGTGAAAAAAATCTCAAGAGTAGCAAAAATTAGCAAAAAGAAGCTAAAGTTAGATGCAACAAATAAAAATTAACAGAACAGAGAAAAATAAGAAGAAAATTTTCTACACTGCAAAAACCGTCCATCTTACCAAGTTTTAAAACCTTATATCAGCCAAAAAGTCTTTTTGATCTTGTTTTGAGACTGATTTACTAAACAAGAACTGATTGTGTAAGAATAATAATCTTGTTTTCAGATTATTTGTCTTGTTAGTCTGAAAATTTGACTCAAGTCAAAAAATTTCTGCCAATGGAGTAAGAATTTATTTTCTTGGCAAGATTCTTGAAAAAAGAAAAAACGGAGTCAAATCAAGTATTTTAAGAATCTTACCAAGTAAAATTTTCTTACTCCACTGGCAGAAATTTTTCACTTAATTTGAGTCAAATTTTCAGGCTAACAAGACAAATAATCTTACACATTCTGAAAACAAGATGATTATTCTTACACAATCAGTTCTTGTTTAGTAAATTAGTCTCAAAACAAGATCAAAAAGACTTTTTGGCTGATATAAGGTTTTAAAACTTGGTAAGATGGACTGTTTTTGTAGTGTAATTAGCAAAAAACAACAAAAGAAGTACTTCAATTTTGTTTTGAAATAGCTAAAACAGTTTAAAATTGGCTAAAATGGCTTTAAAGAGTAGCTGGAATTGGCAAAAAGAAACAGAAAGAGCAAGTGTTTGCTGAAATAAGCAGTTAGAAGCTCAAATGATTGCAAAAAGGTGAATTTGGCTGAAAAAATAAGCTCAAATTTAAATTTAAAATATGTTTATTTTCTGAACTTTTTCTACTTTGACTGGTCCTATGACTTATATATTTTTTCCTTTTCATGATGCACCTTTTAACTGATGCAACTTATACTCCGAATTGACTTATAGTCCAGAAAATACAGTGGCTAAAAAGTAGCTTAAAAACACAAAACAGCTCAAATGAGCAGAAATAGGCTTAAAGAAACATTAAAACTTTAAATCGGCTGAAAGAATCTCAAAAAAACAGAGAGCACGTTTGCTGAATTAAGCAATAAGAAGCTGAAATTTATAAAAAGGTGAATTTAGCTGAAAAAAATGCTCAAATTAGCTGAAATGGGCTAAAAAGCAGCTAAAAATACAAAGAAACAGCTGAAAGAAGCACAAATCTTTTTTATTTAATTTAGCCGAAAGTAAGAGAACAGGTCAGAATTGTAGCTAAAATAGCAGAAACAAGCTAAAATCAGCAAAATAGAAGTAGATGGAAACTGAAATTTGGAAAAAGCAGTTAAAAAATAACAGAATCAGAACAAAAGGTAAAGATTTATGAACATTTTGAAGAGTTTCTGCAGAACGAGATGCCAAATAAAGGTTCGTAAGATAAAAAAATACCAGAATCATGAATGTTTGATGGGAAATCAGAGTGAAGTGTTAAAGTTTGACCTCTGACCTCCTGTTCAGTCAGGTGACGTGTTTGACTGACAGATGTGGGTCGACGAGGCAACAGGCGATACTTCTCACACGTGTCTGTCAGCTGAGCTCACCGGGCTTATTTACTCAGCAGCAGGAATGAGACTTTTGGAGGGCAGGTGGAAGTCAGGCTTTTACTGCCTCCCCCCCCAAGCCCGCTGGACTTTCATCACCATCGTCATCATCATGGTCACTGCAGTGGAAAGCCCAGACCCATCCAGACTGGACCCGTCTCATTATAATAATAAACCATTTCTCAGTGAATCTGTGTCTCTGTGTTCGCAGGCTAAGGGACGGAGGGATGGTCACTCCTCAGCCGGAGAAAACCCTCGGCCGCCGATGGCGACCCGGCCCGGGCGCGGAGGGGTCGGCGGCGTGGGGTGGAAGGGTCCCCGGACGCTGGTCCTCCACAAGAACTCCCAGGGTTTTGGTTTCACCCTGCGCCACTTCATCGTTTACCCTCCGGAGTCGGCCCTGCACACCAGCCTTAACGTGAGACCCAAGAGTACAGATTTGGACTCAGAGTTTATTTAGTTTCTTTTCTTCTCTCATTTTCAAGTTTTAGACATGAAACCAGTTCAGCCGAGGCTCAAGTTCTGAGTAAAATAAACAGAAAAGTAAAAGCAGTTCAGCTGATCAGAGCGGACAGGATGAACGCTCCGTCACGTTTGTGTCCTCTCAGGATTAAAGACAAGAGCGTCTTTAGAGTGCTGTTGTTGTTCTACAGGGACAAAACATGTCCAGATGTGAAATTAGGAGATGAGGAGGTCGAGGTGAAACAACACCGCCATTATTGTTTCCATCCAGCAGCTGCTCACGCAGACTGAATGAGTTCTGTTGTCTTAGCCTGGTACCACTGGACCGGCTGTACCGGGCCGGCCTCAGACAATGGGCCTATTGCAGACCTCTGATCCCCGTTCTGTCCTTGTGTCCTCAAAGGTCACATGATGTTTGTGAACAATCACACTCACAAAGCCAGAGAGCTGGCGTGGAAATCTCACAAATTACCAGCAGAACGTCCAGTTTCTAAAAGCACGATGGGTGTGTGGCCCACTTGGGCCTTAAAGGGTCTGTGACGTATTTGAAGTGTCTGTGACATTTTTAAAGGGTCTGTGACGTCTTTAGAGTGTCTGTYACGTATTTGAAGTGTTTGTGACGTATTTGAAGTGTCTGTGACGTATTTGTTTTTAAAGTGTCTGTGACGTCTTT